CAACTTTTCCCAGTGCAATAGTTTTGCAATCCTTCAGAAGATGGAACCTAGTCCCTGGAATGTCATAAGTCCCACAGTAGCCAAAGCCCTGCTAGATGCCGCACGAGCATGGGGCACAGTCCACACTTCCTGACTGCTCTGAGGGTAAACCCCAGCTCCAGAAGTGCACCCCAATTGTGTTTTCAGTCACTCCCTGAGGCCAGTTGAGTCTCCGAATACAGAATCAAAACCTCGCAGACATTTTGGGAACCCAGGCAGATGCCTCACTGGTTGGAAACCTGAGGCATCTGTCTAGGACCTCTTCTGTTTGGGTTTCTCCAGGTGCTAAGGCGGAGGCTGGAGTGGCCGGGGTCATTGGCAGTGAGAGGGTAAGATAGATGGGTAGGATGCATAGCCAATGGGAGGTGCCTTGTGGTGCAGACTTACATCTGCAGGATCGTTTGAGTCTGAGAGAGCCAGAGATTGGCATAAATAAGATATAGAAAAACAAGGTATAGAGTGAAATGTAAAGCCAATTCTAGGACACATCTAGGAAAACTTTCCTTCTAAGAGGTTGGGTGAGAGTGGGGAGGTCTGAAGAAAGTGGCATTTGATTTGGGTACTGGAGGACAAGCGGAACTTCTGTGAAAGGTGAGGGTGATGTTGCTGAAACAGCCTAATGAAAACTAAAGGGGAGGGTGGAAATGAATCCATCTGGGAAGACACAGCTTCAGAGATTATTTCACTAGTTGTGTTTCACTCCTGTTTTCAGAAACCTATTTGTTTTAGTCACATTGAAAAACAAAACACACAAAAAGGAGAGATCACAGCCAGTCCAGAAGATTCTTCAAACCTCAGGCGATGGGCGCTCAGAATCACCTTCTTTAAAACAGGATCAAATGCCTTCACTTCCAGGTGCCTCAGTGGACGTTTACACTGACGGGAAATCATTTTTCCCCCAAAGGAACTGAGGACGACCGGAATGAAGAGGGCCGGCCAGCACCTTGCGGGCAGAGGACCAACAGGCCGAAGTCCGCCTCCAGCAGGAAAACACGAGCGGGCCGGGGACGCCGAGCTGGATTTTTAAATCTAGCCGAAAGAACCAATCAGAAGCGGCTGCCCGACGGCGCAGGCTCTGATTGGCTCCCCGCCTACGACGGGACCAATAGGCTTGGAGGTGGGGCCGCGGCCCGGAAGCGGTTTAGCGGAAACGGGCGGCGGCCGCGGGCAGTTTGAATCGGGGGCCCGGCGGGCACCGCGGAGGCTGTGGCTTTCCCGGACCGGGCTGCCGAACCGGGCGCGGCCCGTCGGCGAGGTGAGCGTCTGCTGGGACCGGGCCGGGGCTGGGTGCGACGGGCGCTGCGCTGGCCGCGGCGTGCCCGCGCGCCCCCACTCTGCAGGGCCGTCGGGGTCTGGGGGCTGCGGGCAGCCGGGGGCGCGGGCACCGTCACGCGCCGGCCCGGTGGGAGCGAGCCGGGCTGCGGGGTCTGGGGGCGGGAGGGCACCGTCTCGCGCCCACCCGGTGGGAGCCGGGCCGCGGGCACGTCCAGCTCCGCTCTGGGGCGGGACCGGGGGGCTCTCGGCGGAGGGGGAGGCGGGGCTGCGCACACCGGTGTCCCAGCGCGTATTCGGGCGCCTTAGGGGTCCTTGCATGCAGGAAAGGTGTCCGCAGGTGTTTCACCTAAGGCGGCAGAGCATTTGGTGGGAAGAATGATGCCGCCTGGCTTTCCCCTGCCACCCGGGGCTTTTCCTCAGCCCCGCCCTCTCCATCCTCCCCACCCCCTTTTGCTTGGCTTACCTCTTTACCTTAGAATCCTCGTGCTTTGTCCTTTTGGCCCATGCGGGCTGGGATTGCTGTTAACTGCTTCGTGGCAGCTCTAGCTGAGTTCCGAAACAGAAAAGCACCTTTTCTTTGCAACCCCCCGTCTGTGCTTCTCCCCAGCACACGTGGCTGGCAGCGCCTTTCAAAGAGTCAGCTGTGTCTCTGGTGCGCTAATGATTTTGGCTTGGGAGGTGGAAGATCTGGAACTGTGACCACAGCTTTCTCCTGAATGTCTGCTAGGAAGCCGAGTTAAACTCCCCAGGAGCAGTTTCCACTACTTCCCAGCAGTAAAGGAAAGTCTTTACTTAACCATGGGCTGAAAGGTTTGCGGGACCAGTAAGGCCCAGCTTGTTAGAGTGGATGCCGCCATCCACGGTAGAGCGCTTGTTAGGCAGCTCTCAACCCCAGAGCTCTAGGGGGCCTGCATGTTTATTATGTCCATTTTGCAGATGGGGAAACTCAGGGACCGACCAAGGCACTTGGCCAAGGTCACATTCCTTTTTGACTTGGGGTCACACTCTGGGACATCCCTACTTTGGATTTAGGGGCTGTCCTGGCAGTGTTTGGGGGGCCGTGCTGTGGCCGATCCTGGGCCTCCACGCGGGCAGCGCTAGTGCTCCAGCCCTTGAGCTGTTCCTTGGGCCCCAGGATCCTGCTCCTTGTCTGTCTCTGAGCTGGGTTTTGAATTGGCACGTCTCTCCAGGGAGCACAGCTGAACCATTGTTTCACAGCGGTTCTGGTGCCCCCGTGGTGCTCCTGCTCTTCATTCACTTTACAAACCCCAGCAACCTGCAGGTGGAGGGCAAGGATGTGTGGGTGCCAGAGACCGCACCCGCCTGGGGGGCTTGCTCAGACGATGAGCTCAGTCCTCGAGGAAGAGGGACTGGGCAGGGGTGGGATTAATGCTCAGGAAGAAGGGGGATAGAACAGGAGGAGGAGACATCGCAGGAGACCCAGAATGTGACATGAAATTGATCATTTGTAGAACATACTGGAGTCCAGAGCCCCAAAGGACCCAGCCCCGGCAGCCGACCCCAACTACCCAGCCACCACCACACTCCAGGCTGCTTTCTGAACCGTGCGGCCACGAAACATTATAAGATATTGTAAGACACTACCTACCCATTTTTCACAATAACTACACCATATCTGATGGGTTTCTCTAGGGTGACACTGAAGAGTTTTGGTGAAATGGTATCATCCTGCCGAACCCCTCTCTTGACATCGATGATCACTTCACCATTCCCGTAGAATGGTGAGATCCTGGTAGTGAATCCGTAATACCAGCTCACAGAGGATCCTGATGTATTGAGTATGAATGCCCTGATTGGCTAGGGCTTTAATGACCGCTTTCGTCTCAACAGAATCAAAGGCCTTCTTTAAATCAATGAACGTTAGACAGAGAGGCATCTTGAACTCCCTAGAAACCTCAGTGAGCTTGGTTATCTTGTGGATCTGGTCGATGGCGCTGAATCCTTTGCGGAACCCAGCTTGCTCACATGGTTGTCCACCATCTAGTGTTCTGCCAATCCTATTCAGGATGACTCGAGTGAACAGCTTATAGATAACAGACAATAGGCATATTGGGCGATAGTTGCCAATGTCGTGGATGTCTCGTTTCTTGTACAGTAGTATACAGTCCTGTTGGTTTTCCATTGGGACGGAACCTTGCATTCAAACAGGTAGCGTGTGAAGAACCGAGCCAGTGTATTGATGAGTACTGACAGTAGGTTCTTCAGGTGTTCAGGTCTGACCTTGTCTGGGCCAGGTGCTGTTCATTTCTTTACCGATGAAATGTTGTATCAGATTTCGGAAGGGAGAATGTTGGGAACGACATATCCATCCTGCGGAATTTGGTATGTGGGCAGGTAGACAAAGCTATCAAAGAGATCTGAGTAGAAGTCATGGATAATCTTCTCCATTGCCATTCTGGAAGATGTGATAGATCCATCAGGACGTCGGAGGGCAGTCATCTTGGTCTTGTAGTTGGCAAAAGACAGGTGGGCATTATGAATGCTTTTCCCGGTTTCTGCCGTATCTACCAGCACTGCTGCTCTTCCCTCTTTGAGGTCTTCCTTGACTGCATCTCTGCACTGCTTTGTGAGCTTAGACTTTTGATTGCGGTTGCCTGAGGCATGCGCCAAACCTTCGTCGACTGTCAGGAATCAGGGACTCTGTCTCGTTTGCCAAGGAGTCAAAAATCAGATGGGCTGGACACGTAATGGGATTTGGAGATGACTGCTGGACTAGAGCCTTTACTGATTGGATTCCACAGGACATCAAAAGACTGTGTGGCCACCCACCTACAAGACAGTCAGACTTCTTTGTCAAGACCCTGAACGATTGGTTTGAGGCTCTTCGTGTTCCTAGAATGAACAGACGCCATTAGGCTACACTAGCCCGCGACAGGGATGAATGGAGATGTTACTGGCACCTGCTTGAGCAAATCGATGATTAACGGAAAGTCAAGTGATCAAATGATCAAGTGATCTGATGGGGTTTAGACTATATAAATATATGCCTCTCGGAGTATCCTGCTCTCATGGGCAGAGCCTGGCAAGCTCCCCGTGGTGTATTTGATATGCCAAATACAGTAACAACAACAGGTCTCATTCCCTGACTCTGAAAGAGCCTCCAATCACGGGGAAAAGACGAGTAAGAAGAGGCTGCTAAAATCTCAGGGCTGGGAAGAATAGAGACGTTACTGGTGCCCCCTCGAGTAATTTGACGATCAACGGATGACAGTGATACGGTGATAAGTAGAACAAACCAAACCATACAGTAGGAAGCTTGCAGCTACATAAGAAACAGAAATAAGGGCAAGGGAAGCTAATTGACCCGATCGGGCCAGCTCGTCCTCTCTTAAGGTCCATCCGTAGGATCCTGGGGACATGGGTGGCCATGGGGAGGGCTCAGAACCCAAGTGGGCCCCTTGGTAACGGGGCTCAGTCAGGATGTGGGCTGGTGCGTTACATCGAGTCCATAGTGATCAAGACGACAGTTTGTCCCCTGCTGTTCCTCGTACTTGGGATTCACCTCCAGGAGGGAGTGCAGACGCTCTCCTATGGCCTCGCTGAGGTGCAGTTGGAGACCTGCTCTGTGGACACAGGTGTTCGGTCCCCGGGTTTCTCTCCTGCCTGATGGCCTCATTCTGCCTTTTAGTTTTCCTGTGAGCACCTGCCTCCGGAAGGGGAGCACGATGAGCTGGGCTCTGGAAGAGTGGAAGGAAGGCCTGCCATGGCGGGTGCTGCAGAAGGTCCAGGAGCTGGAAGGGCAGCTGGACAAGCTGAAGAAGGAGAGGCAGCAGAGGCAGTTCCAGCTGGAGAGCCTGGAGGCAGCCCTGCAGAAACAGAAGCAGAAGGTGGGTGGGGGCAGGGGGACTGGGGGGGGGGCTCACTGGGAGCACCGCAGTGCTTGGCATCCCAGGGCCCGACTCGGGCTCTGCTCATACCCGTGTGGCACTCTTGGAACTTCAGCCGTTCCCCCCTCATGCCTGTGCATTGGCCAGCCCCGAGAGAGGCGGGCGCCGCTGTCTGCGCACAGGAAACACTTCCCCGTTTTAGTAAGCCCTGAACTTTGCAGTGAACGGTTCGGGGGATTTCTGGGTCTCTGAGCTCTTTCTCAGATTCTGGGAAGCGTGTTCAAGGCTCCTGCCTGGGGTGGGTGTGTGGACGCCTGCCTGCCCACCTGCCCGCCCGCCCGCCCGCCTTGCAGGTAGAGAGTGAGAGGAGTGAGGGCGTCAGCCTGAAACGGGAGAACCAGAGTCTGGTGGAGGCGTGTGAGGGCTTGGAGCGGGCCAAGCAGAAGATGGCGCACGAGCTGCAGCTCAAGGAGACGCAGCTGAGCTTCCAGGAAGGCCAGCTGAGCTCTGGCAAAAAACAGATTGAGAGGCTGGAGCAGGAGCTGAAGAGGTGGGTCTCCTTGGGGCGGGACTGCGGGGGCTAGTAGAGGGGCCTGGGCTGCCCATACCCACCGCTGGCCCCCGGGGAAGCCGACGAGGAACAGGAGACCGGCTTCTCTCTCTTCTCTTTTCAGGAGACTTGCTTCTTGCTTCTTTTTTTTTTTTTTTATGGCGGGGGGGGGGGGGGGCTGGGGGAGGGTTTTGGAGCACACCTGGCGAGGATCAGGAGTTACTTCTGGCTCTACTCAGGGAACTATCTGGGGTGCCGGGGATTGAACCAGGGTTGGCAGTGTGTGAGGCTGAGCCCTACCTGCTGTGCTCTGGCCCTGGCCCCCAGACCTTGCTTATCACTGGCGTCCGTTTCCCGGTGACTGGCAGCTCTCTTGGCCTTCGACCCTAAAGAGTGCTGGGCCCCAGGACTTGCCCCTGAGTGGGTGCTGCTGCTGGTGGCCCCCTGCTGCTCGGAGGCTGTTTCAACGGCTGGAGTTGCTCCCCTGACCAGACTGCGTCCAGCGGCAGCTGGGAGAAGGCTTGAACCGGCTTCACGTTGTCCCTTCAGTTCCCGTCACTGCTGTGGCTGGGGGCTGTCCCTGATCGACCAGCTTCCCCTGCACTCCGGTAGGTGCAGAGCAGAGCTGGAGAGGACACAGGTGGCCACCCCTTCGGCAGAGAGCGCCCCCTCAAACCAAGCGGCCACCCCGCAGAAGGGCTTGCTTGTCCCGGTGACGCCCAGTCACTGCAGTGGTGGTAAGAGTTTTTCCTCCTTGACTGAACTGGCTCTTTTGTTGAGATTTTCACCCTGCCAAGGAAAGGACTCGATTCGGTTTTGTGTTGAATCGGGGCCACACCTGGCAACGCTCAGTGCTTGGGGTGGCCCTGGTGGTTCTGGGGCGTTGGGTGGGACAGGCTGGCTGTATGCACAGTGGGTGGGACAGGCTGGCTGCATGCACAGTGTGTGCCTCGACCCGTTGCCACCTCTCTGGTCCTTGGTTACATATTTGATTTCTAACGTGGGCTTGAAAAAGGAAAAGAGCACAACCCCTGGGGCTGGAGTGATAGCACAGCGGGTAGGGCGTTTGCATTGCACGTGCCCAACCCGGGTTCGATTCCCAGCATCCTATATGGTCCCCTGCGCACTGCCAGGAGTGATTTCCTGAGTGCAAAGCCAGGAGTAACCCCTGAGCATCGCCAGGTGTGACCCAAAAAGCAAAAAAAAAAAAAAAAAAAAAACACCAAAACAACAAAAAAAGAGCACAACCCCTGCCCCTGCCCCTGCGTGTCTGCATCTGGGAGCGGTACTGGGCTGCTGGCGGAAGCCCCGAAGTGCTGGCCTTTTTTCCTTGCTCTTTGTCTGGCTCACACCCACAGTGCTCTGGGCTGTTCCTGCCCTGTGCTCAGGTGGGGACTGAACCAGCTGCAGCCTTGTGCAAAGCGAGCCCCCCACCTCCTGGACCACCTCTTTGGGCCCTGGCTTTTGGTTCTGCTTTTTGTGGTACCAGAAATTGAGTGCAGGGCCTCCTCTGTCCAGGGCACGTGCTCTGTGGCCCTCAGGGCGCCCTTCTCAGGGTGCCCTTTTGTTGGTTTTGTTTTGGGGCCACACTGGAGGTACTCAGACACCCTGGCAGGGCTCAAGGACTGTAGTGGGTGTTGGGGTCAAAGCTCCTTTCTCCCTTTATTGTCTCTCCAGCTCTTGGGTATGAAATAATCGGTTTCCAGGGCAGGGGGGATTTCAGCAGCACTGCAGGCTGAGCCTGTTGGGGGCCCTGGGCCCAACCCTGACATTGCATTTCCATTGTCCCCCCCTGAGGGTGGTCCTGGGTGCCCCCTGGGCTCAAGGGCTCTAGGCAGCTCAAAACCAGTCCTCTGAAAAACATGAATAAATCTCTCGGTGCCGCTGAGCCAGTGCTAGGAAGTCCTGGTTTCTGTGTCTGAGAGGAGTTTGACGGTCTCCCCTACTCCTTCTGTCCCTCTTTGCTGGGCTAACGCTGTGGACTTGTCTGCACCAGGCTCCGACTACGAGGAGCTAAAGGAGAAGTACAACAAGGAGGTGGAGGAGCGGAGACGCTTAGAGGCGGAGGTCAAGGCCTGGCAGGCCAAGGTGAGGCGTGCGGGAGCCCTGGACCAAGCAGCACAGCTACGGGGCCACCTGCCCCGTTTCGCCCGTTTCACAGCTGCCAGGTTCCTGTGTGGCAGAGGCTCTGCCTGCTGCTTGGCAGGAATGCGGAAAGCGGGTTTGCACAACTGGGGGGCCAAGTGTTTGGGTCGGGCTCTGCGCCGCGTGGAGTCTGGGGCAGCCGCGGCACTGGGCATCTCTGGAGGACGGCAGGGGAGGCTGCATGGATCGGCTTGGAGCCCTGCTGCGCCCTGTTGTCTGGTGGGAAGTGCTGACATGCCGCTGGCACCCTGTGGGCGGACACAGCCTGCCGGAGGGCTCTTGGGTCAGGTGTTGGGAGTGATCCTTGCACTGAGCCAGCAGGGATGCGCACCCAGCCTGGTGAGGAGAAGCAGGCATCTGGGGACCAGGGGAGGGTCTCAGTGGCTGGACTTGGTGGTCGTTGGCCTGGGCAGAGAGGGACACCAGAAAGGGACACCTTTCTGGTGTCCCTTCTCAGGCCTTTGCCCTGCCAGAGAGGGCTGAGGCTCCGATGTTCCCCTTGCAGAGAGCCAGCCCGCCCATGCCGCAGAGTACCAGGACCCACCGGGACATCGCCCGGCACCAGGCCTCCTCGTCCGTCTTCTGGCAGCAGGACTGGACTCCTAGCCGTCTCTGCTTGGGCGCCCAGTCGACTCCTGGGAGGAGACAGTCCTCGGCTGGGGAGCAGGCGGGGACCCCGAGCAGGCTGCGGTCTGGCCAGAGGGACACCGTCAGCAGCTGTGGAGACTGCTCGAGTGGGTCTCACCTGCTGGACCAGCTCAGAGCCCAGAACCAAGGTGACCTTGTGCTATCCGAGATAGCAGACACTGGGCCTGTGTGTGTGTGTGTGCGTGCGCGTGCATGTGCGCGCGTGTGTACATGTGTGCATGTGTGTGTGTGGAGGGAGGTATGGGGGGGGTAGGAGACACACATGCTTTTGTACCTGGTCCCCAGCCCTCGGAAATGAGTGTGCGTTTTATTCACATACTTACCTTTCGAGGCCGAGTTGTCTCTTGCTTGCTCAGCCATGGACACATGGACACGTGGGGTCCCTGGTTGTCCACGCGGGAGCAGACCTGTACCTTGGGTGTCTGTGCCAAGGGCTCCAGGTGGTGTTTTGGGATCGGGGACTGTCCCGGGCCACGTGCTGGAGGGTGAGGATAAAATGCTGTCCCTGGGCGGGCTGGAGGCTGCCGGGACTGACTCGCAGGAAGCCAAGCCCGAGCTGAGCCCACGCGGGGGAAGGTTGGCTGGTTGGGGCTCTGCCCAAGTGCAGATTCTACTTGTGACTTTAGTGCTGATGGAGGTTCTGTGGTTTGCGCCACTGTGGGTGATGGTTCCCCGCTTGCGTGGTCCCACTCCACCCCACTGCCCTCCCCCAAAGGGCCTCGAGGCCGCTCCCTCTCAGGCTGCCCCACCCAGGTGCAGTTCTGTTCCCGTAGGCCATGGGTTGCTATCTTGCTGGGCGCCTAAGTCCCAAGTGAGGATTTTCATGAGTGCTGTGACGGGGGGCCCTTGGTGACTTGTTTGTGTCAATCCTTCCCCTGCCCCCCCAGTTCCTGGGGGAAGGCATGGGGAAATGTGTTTTTCCCGTGCTCGGGACGGCTGGTGTCACCTGCCCGAGATGAAACCCCATGGAAGTAGCGGGGGTTTTGTGCAGCCCAACTCTTCGCCTTGTTCCTGGGGACCCCGCCCTCATGCCCGCCACTGGGCCTGTGCCCTTTCAGAGCTTCGGAGTCAGGCCAGCGAGCTGCAGCTCCGCCTGCAGGCGCAGGAGAAGGAGGCGAGGAGCCAGGGCGGCCGGCTGCAGGAGCTGCAGCTGCAGCGGGACCGGGCGCGCGCCGAGCTGGCTGACAGCGAGAAGGCTCTGGGCAGGAGCCGGGACGAACTGGCACGGGTCAGCGCCCAGCACGAGCAGGCGGTGACCAAGGTAGGCTCTGGTGGGTGGGAGGGAGCAAGGCCAGATGGGCGCGGGGACCCTGCGCCCTCCATCCGGTCGCTCTCAGAGCTGGGGTGACGGGTTGGGTGGGGTTGCATGCTCCTGGCCCAGTGCCGTCTTGCCCTCAGGCCTGCAGCACCAAGATTGTCTCTGTACCCCCCCTTCCCCACGATCCTTCGTGGCATCTGTAGAGGGCGGCTGTGTGGGCAAGGATGGAGCTTCTAGAAGGCTCTAGCGCCTCTGGCTGGGTTTCTTCTGCCCGGGCTCCCAGCCTCTGGGGATGGTGCGGGGTCTCCCACGTCCCTTGTCCTTCTCTCTCATGCTCCCGGTCTGTACTGTGTGTCGGGCACTGGTTCTGGGAGGTCAGAGGTCATTGCTCGCTTTGTTGCTTCTTTTTTCTGCTTGTTTTGGGGCCACACTCGTTGGTGCTGGACCCTGGCTCCCAGCCACCAGTGCCAGGTCTTTCTCGCCTTTACCCTTGGGGTCTCCCTGCGCTGCTCGTGTCCTCAGGTCTCTTCTCGGCCTGCTGGGCGGAGGTCGTGGTGCTGGCGGGGGTGCCTGACCCTCTCCATCTCCCTTGCCTCATCTCTGAGGACCTGCTAGGCGAACTGCTCATTTAGAAACCCCCTCGCCCCCATCACCCCCGCACGCCCTCCCATCTGCAGACTCCCGCCTGCTAGCCCTGACTAGGAGTTGGGAGGTAGACAGAGCCTGGGCCCAGCTGTGGGGTGGGATTCCGCCCCCCCCCCCCCCCAACATTGCCAGATCCCAAGCTGTCTGGACCGTTCCTGACACCTAGTGGCCGGCAGCTCTTTCGGCCCTCTGCCAGTGAGGCCTTCCTGGGCTCTGTTTCACTTCCTGCCTGGGAAGGGGCGTAGGGTCTGCTACCCCCAGCCCCGGGTGCAGGCGGCAGGAGGGGCAACAGGGGTGCCCGGCCCCGAGAACTGCTGAGAACATTCTGGACTCCAGTGGGTGATACTTCTCGTTGACCTTATTTGCTGCGGGACCTGAGTGCCTGGCACATTCCCAGCACAGGGGACACTGCCCATGAGTCTCGGTGGGTTCCTAGTAGGAGCTTTGGTATGGTCAGGCCAGGGACAGTGTCCTGTGCTGAGCAGTGGGTTTCCCTGGACCTTGGCTGTGCATTTAACCTTTTGATTGGGATGTTTTTGGTTGTTGGGTTTTTCTTGGGGGTGGGGGGGATTTTTCCTCCCAAGTGGTGTCAGGCCCCAGGGCTTCCCTGGGGAGTCCGTCCCCCATGTCTGTGCCTCATTCCCCTGCTGTCTGTGCCCTGGGGTGCTGGATGCTGTGGCACTGGTGGCTCATTCGTCCACTGGCTCTGCTCTCCACTCTGGTGGTTGATAGGTCGGAGTGAGATGCACGGGCAGGCCAGGGCCCCCCGCTCCCATCTCCTTGGCCCCCAGTTTCCTTTAGGTGAGACTGGCTGTGTCCGGAGACTCGCCTTGGCGCTAGCCTAGGTCAGTGGGTGGGGCTCCCCAGCTCCTTCCAAGCCTGTGCTGCTTCCTGGGGTGTTTTGGGCATTTGCCTGGGCAGGCAGAGGGTCCCCCTGCCCAGGGGAGGGTCAGAGGTCTTGGCGGTTGATTTCCCCAAAGTGTCTGGGGATGAGGTGGTACTGGATAGGAGCGCTGGGTGGCTTGTGGAACGTCGCTGACCAGAGGCAAGATCAGACATGCGCATGGAGCGTCCATCATGCCGGAGGGACGCTGCCGCCGGGTCCCAGCTCGGCTCCTCCCACTGTTGCTTCTCACCTCACACATGTCTTATCCTTGTGAGAAACTTAGCCAGGGCTGAGTTGGGCTGTTGGGCCACGCTGGCGTCCAGACGCCCCTCGTGGCACAAAATGCAGCTGAGGAGGCCTGGGCAGCCTGACATGCTCAAGGGCAGGTGGCCGCTTCCTCTGACCCTCTGCTCCCCCGCCAGTGCTCTGAGCTGGAGCAGAAGCTGAAGAAGCTGGTGGAGGACCTGAGCTGCCAGCGGCAGAACGCTGAGAGCGCCCGGTGCTCCTGGGAGCAGAGGAGCAAGGAGAGAGAGAAGGAGCTTCAGGAGGTGAGGCTGGGCGTGCGCGGGCTCCCCGTGCTCCTGCCCGCCGGGCTGGCCCTCACGCCGGCTCCTTGGTTCCTTCAGGAGCTGTGCCGGCAGCAGCGGGCCCTGCAGGGCCTGGAGCAGGAGCGTGCGCAGACCCAGGCCCGACTCTCGCAGGAGCTGCAGCAGGCGAAGCACGCCCACGGCGCACTGCAGGCCGAGCTGGACCAGGTGGGGCTCACACGTGTGGGGGAGCAGAGCGCAAGGGGTGTTCCTGGGGCTGGGGCCCCCTACAGCAAGGGGCGGGGTGGAGGCCACTAGCCGGGTGCTCTCGCCTGCACGTGTGCTCACCCTCCTTGGTTCTTGTAAGAAATTTCTTTTTGTCCATCAAGTCTGTGATATGTGCAGTATTTGATATGTTATGAGCACGTTATTTTCATCCGCACCTTCGTGGCACATGCATCCTCCTGATCTCTTGGCTTCATATTTACCCCCTGGGGTTGCATTTACTGCTGGTTCTATTTCTTTGTGGCTCTCTGTGTGTGCGTGTGTGTGTGTGCATTCCTGTGCGCGTGGGTACATGGGCATGTGTGTGTTCCCTCCCGCCCACCCTCTCGCAGCTCCCGTGCTGTTTCGGGCACTGCAGGCTTCTGTGTTCTCAGCTCCTGCTGGATGCTTTCCTCAGCCTGACTCCTACTGTCCCAGCTGACCACTGCTAACCCTCTCACTCCAGGACTGTTTAGTAGTGAGGAATCAGTGCTGGTTTAGGAAGCAGCTTGGGGCTGGTGTTCATCAGGTAGGATGTGAGCTGACCTGAGTTCAATCTCTGGCACCTTGCATGGGCCCCTGAGCCCTCCAGGAGTGAACCCCGACACGGCCGGTGGGGCTCAGTGGTGTAACCGCCTGTCTTGCAGGTGAGGCTGTGAGTTTGAGCCCCGCAGAGCCCCATGAGCTGAGAGGGACCCAGCTGCTCTGCTGTTTGGGGGGGGTCCCATGGCCACTGAGGGTGTGTGAGGTCCTCAGCTGGAGCATGTGGCTTGCTGGGAGCTCAGCCAAGCGTGTGCGGGCTCCTGCCGTAACAGATGTCAGCTGGGGGGAAGGCAGGGGAGTCGATGGGGGAGAAGCGGTGACCCAGGGCCACCTAGTGACGGCTTCTCTCGGCAGGTCACCTCCGTGAAACTACAACTGGAGAAAAGTCTGGAAGAGTCTAAGCGTAAGCTCTGCAGAGCTGAGCAGGCCTCACAGGCAAGTGAGCTGAAGGAGAGTGAGCTTCGGAGAGAGAGTGAGGTGAGTGAGTGCGTGGGGTCTGGGCACACACGCACACATGCACACACACAGCCCGGCTCGGTCCCGAGTGTTTGGAGCTGCCCTTAAGCCAGCCTGGGCTTGGGAGTGGCCACAGGAAACCGCGGAGCCGTCCCCACTCCTCCAACTCCCTTCCCTCCGGTCACCTGCTGGTCCTGACCGGCCTGCCTGGTCCTGCTCTGGCCGTCTGCTGGTAGGGTGTTCGAGGTGGGTCTTAATTGTTCCTTTAAGTTTTGGAGCTGCCCCTTCCTTGGGCCATTTGCAGAAAGCAGGTTTCCTGAACGCTTCTGCTCCCTGGTGTGTGTGGGGGGTGCTTGGCCCAGCCTGTCAAGGTCCTGCCTGTCCCCAGGGCAGTCGAGCGGGAGCTGTTCTTTGGCTCTGAACATCACCTGCTGTGTGTGGGGCCACAACAGCTTAGGAGGAGATGGAACTTGTGTGGGAGTTTGCCTGTGGTTCGGCTGGTGTTTGCAATCCATGGGAAGGAGTGCTGCTCTACCCTGTCCTATTGGGAGCCGACAGCGACCCTTTCTGCCGCTTGACCATTGGCCTGAGCTTGCAGACCCTGTCTGCAAGCCGGTCTCAGAGGGGCCGTGCTGACACTGCCACCCGCCTGCGCTGACCTGGCCAGCGGGTGTTTCTCCCGCGGGGTCCCTGGGTTCCCGGGACCTGCAGACTCACCCGGTGGGTCTGGTCTGTGCCACCCACTGTGGCCGGCCACTCCTGGGGATGCTCAGCTGGAGGGTGGGCCGGCCCCACCATGGGCTCAGCCTCCCGGGCCATGTGACCCTCTGTCCCTCCAGTGAAGTGCCCGCCCGAGTGTCCGGGCTGCCAGGGATGCTCTGCAGCTTTGACTCTGGCGCTCGCTGGATCCTTCCTCTGCAGCAACTGCCCCAGCGTCTCCAGCCTCGGGGGTGTCTGAACAGGGCCAGGGATCCCCGAGTGGCGTTGCTCCCGTGCTTGTGCGTCCTGTTCACCTGTCTGCCATTGCAGGAGCTGAGGAAGGAGAGTCAGCAGCTGGCGGCGCAGGTGCGCCACCTGCAGGAGGAGCTGGGCAGGGCTGAGCGGAGCTGCTGTCAGAGGCAGAGCCTGGAGGAGGAGCTGAGGGGTGAGTCGGGGCTGCAGGGCGCCCCCTGGTGGAGGAGCTGGGAGTGAGTCGGGGCTGCAGGCAGGGTGCTGAGTCCCTTGCTCCTACCTGGCATCTGGTGGGCTTGCTTCTCTCCTCTGCGGTGTGGAGTGAGGCTGAGCCTGCTCTGTGGGCACTGTGACCAACCCATCCCTGCACACATAGCTGTGCTTGGTGCTGGTCCCCCTGCACTGTGCCAGCCTCCTGGGGGCAGCCCGCTCCCAGCCTCTGGGCTGCTCTATGGGTCAGGGCCCACCTTTCCTGGGCTCTGTCTAGGAGGGCTTCCCAACCCTCTGACAGGGTTCAGAGGGAGGGAGGCTCATGACAGTGGGAACGCGGGATGGGGCGGAGGAGGCTATAGGCTATAGGTTATAAACGTGCAATAGGCAACGTTTCATTTAAAGCCGAGAAGGTGAAGAAGTCAGTGCGCTACCGGCCTGAAGAAAGGACCTGTTTTTCCCTTCTTTCTTTTTGGAAAATCACCCTGATTTTACCAGCTTGCAGAATGGGCTCATATTGCTGGAGTCTGCCCTCGAGTGTCAGAAGCAGGGTGTTTTGGCCACAGCTGGTGTGCTCAGGGGTTACCCCTTGATCTGTGGAGTGACCCTTATGGTGTGGGCTTGGCAGCCTGCAAGGCAGACCTGTCCTGGGTGCACTCGCTCAGGCTGGGGCCTCCATTTCTCTTCAGCATGCTGTAAGACACGGCGGCAGGCACCTGTCACTTCCCGAATGCTGCCTTTGGACCAGGCTTCAGTGACTTAGTTTGGAGGGTAGTTTTCCTTTTTATTTTTTTTTTTCTGGCTTTTTGGGTCACATCCAGCAATGCTCAGGGGTTACTCCTGGCTCTGCACTCAGGAATCACTCTTGGTGGTGCAGAGGGGACCATATGGGATGCTGGGGATTGAACCTGGGTCTGCCGCGTGCAAGGCAAACGCCCTTCCACTGTACTGTCACTCCTGCCCCTCATTTTTTCTTCTCCCCTAGCACTTAGAGCTCTAGAAAAAGAAAAAAGAAATTTCTTTAAGATTCCTGACAACTTACAAAAAATTGTCATTTTGTTGTTGCCAGCCAAGATTGAGTCTCAGGAATCCTTGCTCCTGAATCTCCAGGAGAAGCTGGACAAGCAGGAGAACCCCGTGGAACTGGAGGAGCTGAGGCGGGCCAGGGCCGACCTAGAGCAGCAGCGCGATGGCTGCCAGCACCTGCTGAGGGAGAGGGAGCAGCACCTCGAGCAGCTGAGCGGGCAGCTGAGCCGAGTGGAGCAGGAGTTGGAGGGGCAGCGGCAGGTGCTGGAGGCCCAGCAGAGGGAGCAAGAGCAGCTAGCCGCCGAGCGGGCGGCGCTGGCCCTCTGGAAGAGCGAGAAGGAGCCCGAGCTGCAGCAACTGGATGCAGAGCGAGGGGCCCTGCAGGACCAGCTGAGGCACCTGGAGGCGGGTCTCAGGGCCCAGCAGCTGGAGAGCCACGAGTACCGGGAGCGCGTGAGCACGCTGGAGCTGGACCGGGAGAACCTGCAGGCCGAGATCCGGGGCCTGCGCTGCTCACTGGACAGCCGCAGTGCCGAGGCTGAGGCCCAGCAGCGGGTCAGCGAGGAGGCGCGCCGGGAGGCCGAGGTCGTAGCTCAGAAGCTCCGCGAGGAGGCAGAGAACCAGTGCTCTGAGGTGGCCCGGCTCTCCGGGCAGGTGGCTGATCTGGAGCAACAGCTTGGGGCGCTGGCCAGCGAGATCAGGAACAAGGACCAGGCCTACCAGGACCTGCTGGCTGACTGTGAGAGCCTCCAGGCGCAGCTGTGGGCCAAGGATGCCGCCAGCGTTCCCGACAGAAGCCTGCTGGAGCCGGTTGTGCCAAGTTCTACCTTTGCTGACGGCAAGGGAGAGGGAGGGAGCCCACGAGCCCTGGACAGTGGCCACTGCCATGTCCCAGCTCCCTTGAGTCACCCTGATTTTGCCAGCCTGCAGAGCAGGGTTGCATGGCTGGAGTCTGCCCTCGAGTGTCAGAAGCAGGAGAACTCGGACCTGCAGCGGCGCTGTGAGCAGCTGGTGCAGCTGAGAGGAGAGGCGGAAGAGAACCTCGCCCAGGCCCAGCGGCTGCACCAGAGTCTCGTGGCCGAAACCAGCCAGCGCCTCAGCGAGCTTCAGGAAGACGCTTCAGTTTGCCAGACTGCGGCCACAGGCGCGGTGGCGGCCTTGGAGAACAAGGAGGAGCTGCAGCTTCTGAGCGAGGCACTGAAGGCGGAGCAGGCTGAGACGCAGGAGCTGCGGGCGCGCAGTTGCTCTCTGGAGGACGCCCTCCGGGAGCAGCGGCGGGCAGTGGATGCGCTGACCTCCGAGAAGGAGGAGATCAGCTTCGCCCTCGCCCAGAGCGAACGGGAAATGGCAGCACTGGCCCGGGAGAACGGCTCGCTCAGGGACACGAACGCAGTCCTGGAGCGAGAGAAGCTGAGCCTGCTCCGGGAGAGTGAGAGCTGCCTGCGCCGCGCCGAGGAGAAGGAGCAGCGCCTGTCGGAGCTGGCTGACCAGCACGCCCGCGAGAGGCTTGCTCTGCTGCAGCGCTGCGAGGAGGCCAGCCAGACCCTGCGGGACCTTGGCGAGGAGAAGGCGCACCTGGAGAGCTTGCTGGGCCAGAGCAGGAGCGCCTGCCAGCTCCAGCAGACGGAACTGGAGCAGCTGAAGGGCAGGGCTGCAAGGGAACGCCAAGCCCATGCCGCCGAGCTGGCCCAAGCTGAGGAGAGGCACGAGCGTCTCCGGCTGGAGCTGGTGGCCCGCCTGGCAGAGCTTCAGGGGCCCCCCGGGAGCGGGCCGAGTGGCTTCAAGTCAGAAGTTCTGGTCCTCACGGGGGCCCAGCCGCTGCGGGCAGCCCGTGACGCAGGCCCAGGGCACCCCAGCCCTGAGCTGACACCACGGGGGCAGAGCCACGAGGGGAGCCCCGGCCGTGCCAGCACGGGGGAGGCCGCCGTCCTGCACATGGACCTTGAGGAGGAAGATGTGTCTCCGCAGAGAGCTGATGGGCAGCTGGGAGCCACGGTAATAGAGATGGAGCTGGAGCCCGAGGGCCCGCTGGAGAGGAAGGAGGAGCCCCGGCCTGCACTGGTGCAGCCTGCCATCGGCCTGGGCTCTGAGTCAGCCGCGACCCAGGAGCTGGCAGCCAGCCCCAGCGGCGAGAACGAGCTCCTGCAGCAGGCCCTGGGTCAGCTGGCCAGACTGGAGCAGGTGTGCGAGGGGCTGCGCGGGCAGAAGTCGCGACTCCTTGCAGAGCTGGACGACGTGCGGGCCCAGTGCATGGCGGCCACCAGCACACTGGCCGAGGAAGTCGAGGAGCTCGTCCTTGAGGCCCGGGGACTGAACCAGTCCCCGGGGCTCCTCCCCACCCAGGAAGAGGGGCTGAGAGCAGAGCTGAATGCGACCCCCAGGGGGCCCCCTAGTCCTAAGGATGCCTGTGACCAGGGCCCCGAGGCAGAGGTCCGCAGGCACTTTTCTGAGCTGCAGGAGAAGCTCTTCTCTCTGCAGCATGAGCACCAGCTCCTGCATGACCAGCGCTGCCAGGTGAGCGCCAGGGTGGCCGAGCTGCAACGCTACGTGGGCACGCTGCAGGCAGATAGCCCTGTCCTGCGGGGCCGCCTGGTGGAGAAGGTGGCCGAGGACCCTGGCGACGGGAGCTTTCTGTCCCTGTCTTCCTCCTGTGTCACGGACAGCCCCGGCCTGCCACAGGTCGGAGAGTCCTTTTACAGAGACCCTGAGCCCGCGGGGGAGGAGACCTCCTTCAGCCTCCTGGGCGGGAGCGGCTTGGCCAGCCCCCGGGAGGACAGCCTGCCCGTGGCCACTGGGCTGGAGGGGCTGGAGGCCCGCTGCCGGGAGCTGGAGGAGAGCCTGGAGAGTCAAGGGGCAGCCAAGGACAAGACCATCGAGGAGCTGGAGCAGCTGCTGGGCGCCGAGCGGCGGCGGCACCTGTCGGAGAGCGAGCGGTGGCAGCAGCGGCTGGCCAGTCTCACCGCCGACATGGAGTCGCGGCTGGCGGAGGAGCGGAGGCACACAGAGCGCCTGGCGCTGGAGCTGGAGGCTGCGCAGCTGCAGATGCAGGGCCTGGACCTGGGCTCCCGCTCGCTGCTGGCCCCGGAGCTGGAGGAGGTGTGTGTGGAGGGTGGGGCCGAGCTGGGAGGCCCGCAGGGGAAGGGGTTTCCTCCTTGGACTTTGGGTCGAGGTGCGCTTTTAGGGTTCATTCCTGAGAATGCTTGGGCAGTCAGTGCTGCTGGGAACTGAACCAGGGTTGGCGGTGTGCAAGGCAAGTGTCCTGATCCCTTGGCTCTCATTCCAGCCCGCTAGACTGCTTTATTTTCTGCTCTGGGTTTACTCCTGGCTCTACTCAGGCATCACACTTGGCAGGGCTTCTGGAGATTTTATGTAGTGCCAGGGATTAAATCTGGGTCAGTCACTGAGCAAGGCAAGCCCCCTACCTGCTGTCCTATCTCTACCCATCCTAGACTATTCTTCATAGTCAGATTGTAACAGACTACTCTTAATGTCAGATTGTAACTCTGGCATTAAGAATAGTCAATGCCAGAGTAACAAGTGGATAGTTATACATAGTTGCAATCTTACATAGTTAGTATTTTACGTAGTTGCAGTAGTTACAATCTTAGACTATTCTTAATGCCAGAGTTACAGTCGTGGAAAGAAATGTAGAAATTTATTATATTACTGAATATTTTGCTAGCAATTTTTCTCTGATAGAAAACCATTCACTGATATCAGGCATTGGGAGAGATAGTTCCTTGTTTAGGAATACAGTGGTTTGATTACCAGGTTTCTCTACATAAAGTCTTGGATTTGATGACAAACGTGTGTGTGTGTGTGTGTGTGTGTGTGTGTGTGTACAAAAAACATGGTAGAACCATTATGTGAACTTTTGAAATATACTGTGCTGGCCATTTTATGTGTGCCAATTACATAGTGGCACCGATGATGCGGAAAATAAGATATTGATAACTGTGAGACTCAACAGTGTTCACTGTTTCCCTGTATCCGACCTGGATTGGGTGGAGGTGTTGAGCGGATATGCACGGCCAATCCCTTGTTATGGATGAGAGTAGTCTGGGGCATTGATCCTGGGCATTGTAAGGGCCAATTTGGTGACAGATTTGGTCATGAGTCCCCAGTACCTTTTATTGAAGATCAAGATGAAAGCTGAGCACTGAGGTGGGACTGGGCAGCCTCATGCCCGAGACCCTCATGCCCGAGCTGCCCGGGAGATTCTTGGGGGAATCGGGAAGCTTAGGTAGGTTACCATGGCGTAGACGACAGCACGTTTGCCCGCAGGGTTCAGGCTCAGAGGGAGCACTCTTTCAGGAGTCTGTGCAGTGGTGTGGACTGTGTCAGGAGTCATCTGAGCCTGGGGGGGGGGGGTCTCGTTCCTCAGTCCTCTGCTTGATGGTTGTTCGTTGTATCTCATTCTGTATCACCGCCACAGGCTCTTCGGGTCAGCAATGAGGGCCAGCAGCCCACAGAATCAGAAGATGCTTACCAGGGAGCCGAGGAGAATGCTCGGCCACCTGGGACGGGCCAGAAGGAAGAGAACCCACCCCCGCCTTCCGGGGGCCCACAGCTGGGAGAGAGCTCTGGAGAGGCCCCTGGTGAAGGCAGAGCCAGGGGCCCATCCCAGCCGCCCTCGCCTGCTCGGCCTGCCTTGGTGTCCGCAGATTCCCCAGAGCTGCAGGACGCCCTCCAGCACCTGCAGCAGCAGCTGAGCCAGAGTATGAGTGAGAGGGCGGAGCTCGCACGTGCCCTAGAGGAGCGGGAGTGCGTGGTACAGGGTCTGCTCCAGCAGCTCCGCTCACTGGAGGAGACCCCCTCCAGGCACTGGGAACCAGAAACCTCCCCGAGCCAGGGGGCAGAAGGGGACATTGCAGACCCTGGTGACAACTTGGACGTGGACACAGATGGATCGTGCCGGGCAATGGTGGCAGACTGCGCCTGCAGAGAGCGGGTCCTGGAGGAGGAGCTGGAGGGGCTCCGTAGCCAGTGTGGGCAGGCCGAGGGGCGCGTCCTACCCATGGAGGCGAACCTGGCCCACATGCAGGTGAAGAAGCTGCGTTTGACCAAGGACAATGAGGACAAGTTGAGACTCATAACCTGCCTGGAGGAACAACGCGCGGCCTTCATGGCAGAGAGGAACTGCCAGCTTGGGCAGGGCGAGGCCTGTTGCGAAGGGGACGGGGAGCGAGACCAGAAGGAGCTGCCAGGAGCCCCCGAGGCCCAGTCCCCAAGCGCGGGCTGCACGGAGATGCTCAAGGACTCGCCCGAGGACGGCGGGGTCCAGGCAGGGCAGGGCAAGTCGGAGTGCCAGGCCCAGGCCCTGGAGGTGGCGCTAGCCGAGAGGGCCTCAGCGGCCACGCGCCTGGGCTGTGCTCAGGACGAGCTTCGGCAGCTGCGCCGGGGCATGGAGCGCCTCCGCGAGCGCATCGAGGCGGATGAGCAGCAGCGGCGCCGCGCCCGCGAGCAGCTGCGCCAGAGTGAGCGCCGCGGGGACATGCTGCAGGACCGCGTGGAGAGTCTGGAGCGGGAGCTGCAACTGGCCGAGGAGGGACAGGAGCGGGCCATTCTGGACGCCGAGCAGGCCCAGGCCGAGGCCGAGGCTCTCCGTGTGCAGGTGGCTGGACTGGCCACGCTGGCGCAGCAGCTGCAGGAGGCCCGCGGCCAAGTGGCCGAGGTGGAAGCGCAGCGGGGCTCGCTGGAGAGCCTTCTGGAAGAAGCCAGGCGAGTCAAGGCGCAGCTGGAGGAAGAAGTCCGTGCCGCAGCAGAGGACCTGAACAAGCTCCAGGAGGAGGTTGCGGCCCTGTGCGCCGGCTGGGACTCCCCGGGTGCAGCGGGAGAGTGCCCGGAAGAGCCGCGGCCGGAGCAGAAGCCGGAACCTGGGCTGGGGCTGTTTGGGGAGAGCCTGGCCCGGTTGCGCACCTGGCTGCGGGCCAACCAGCAGGAGCAATGCCAGGTGTGGGCGCGGCTGCGGGATGGCGAGCACCAGGCAGGTCAGCTGCAGGAGCGAGTGGCCAGCCTAGAGAGGGAGCTGGAGGCAGCCACCAGCCACCGGGAGCGGCTAGCCCACGAGGCCAAGTGCTTTCAGGCGGATGCGGCCACAGCCGCCGCCAAGCTCGAGGACACCAAGCAGTGTGTGGAGTCTCTGCGGGAGGAGCTGGCCAGCTCAAGATCCGAGCAGGAGGCCCTGTCTGCGGACCTGCGGGAGCAGCGGGAGCGTACGTCCGACCTGGAAGGCCAGCTGCGGGAGCAGGCACGGTGCAGCCACGCAGCCCACACGACCGCTGACACCCTGCGTGCACGCCTGGCAGAGCTGGACGCCGAGGTGACCAGCCTGCGCCAGTCCCGTGAGGCCACCGAGGTGTGCCTGGGCGCCCAGGTGGCCGCGCTGGAGGGCCAGAAGACCGAGCTGCTCAGCCGCCTGGAGGATGGTGAGCGCAGGCTGGCAGAACAGGAGGAAGCTGCACGTGTGCAGGCCCAGGACCACCGACAGCTGGTTGCACAGTTGGCGCAGGCCGAAGCCCGGGCAGAGCAGGAGGCCGAGCGGGCAGGTCAGCTTCAGGCCCTGCAGAACGCCATGGATTCCCAGCAGAAGGCGCTGGGGGACCTGCAGGAGGAGCTGGCAGCAGCCCGGGCAGACAACGTGGCCTTGGAGGAGCAGGTAAGTGGTGACCGCCCCTCCTGGCCCCGGGTGCACAGGGTTTGGGGGGGAGTTCCTTACTTCCCTGGCTGCTGTGCAGAATCGGGGAGCTCAGTGAGTATGGGGGTGCCTTGGAGGTTGGGGGCTGTTTGGGTCAGGCCCATACTGGAGGCCACGGCTCATCACAGGTCCACACCGCGGCCTCCTGGCAGAGCTTGCCCTAGAGCAGGGCCCTGTGGGACTGGACACCCTGTGCTCCGGCCCGGTGACCAGACAGCAAACGCTGCAGGGCAGGCCCTTGGCGGGTCCCCTTAGCCACCCCCGGCTTTGCCCCAGAGGACCAAGGGTACTGCTTATTATTTCCACAAGGCCCTGGCTTCTAGTCCCAGCCAACTGCTGGAGGGGAAGAAAAGGGGACCTGGAAAATGCCTCTGATTGTGGCCCATCACTCCTGTGGAACAGATTCTGGCTTTCTATGGCCTGCACGATGGTTCACTCAGACGAGGAAGTTCACTTGGGGGCTGGCCTCCGGGCAACGCTCAAGGGGCCCCCGGGACCTATCCCAGTGTTAGTGGCCAGCCTGGCCAGACGAGGCCCTACTTGGGGGCCACCAGTCTGAGGCCCCTGTGTTCCAGGGGTCAAACTCAGTTCCCTGTCTGGGCTCTGCCTTCTGACCCCAGCGACCTCCCTGGCCCTCAGCCTGGAGCTGTGACCAGCTACTTCTCATCTCGGTGGGTTTCTCCAGCCCCAAGAGCTGAAGCAACCCAGGTAGCTGCATACCCTGCCTTCTTGGATGCTGCGTTCAAACATGCTGCACATGTGACTTGGAGACGTGGTGGAAACCTTGTCCCTGGCCTCCTGTTGCTGCGTTTGCTCAAATCCAGCTCCTGGGCTGGACCTGGTCCATCTTGGTGTTGAAGCCCCAGCGCATGCCCGTGACTGTGGGTCTTAGTGGTCCTTGGTATCCTGGACCCCTGGCCCCCGTGTGGCCAAATGTATGGTGGCCTTTTGCCTTTTAGGTCAGCACCCTGGTGGCCAAGGATGCAGAGCTGCAGAAGGCGTGGCAGGAGCGGGAGGAGAAGCTGTGCGGGGAGAAGGAGCGGCTCGCCCAGGAGCTCAGAGCTGTGTCCGAGGAGGCTCAGAGCTGCCGAGTAAGTGGGCTGCTGACCTGGGCGTGCACCTCTGCTTGGGGGCCTGTGGAGGTGCCCGGGAGGTAGCCAGACAGGCCAGGCGCCCCATCGCCCGCAGACATTCCACAGCAGCCCTGGGTGTGTTCTGAGGTGCTCTTCAGGGCAACTCATGAGGCAGGAGGCAGCCGTGGCCGCATCTCCCAGGCGGGCATCGTCATTCAGCCCCCCAGGGAGAAACCTGACTGGACCGTGGGAAGGAAACAGCGAGGGGCAGTGTGTGTGTGTACATGTGTGCACATGTCTGCGTGCATGTGTGCCTGTATGTGTACGTGAGTAAGTGCATGCACATGTGCCTGTGTGTGTGTGCGTGTGTGTGTGTACCTGTGTAGCAGGGCTGGTCTGAGAAAGTCGAGCGGAACTGAGTGGGGTCCTGAAGACCGGACCAGCCTCTGTCCTTCAGCATCTGTCCAGGCTGAGATGGGAGAGTGGATGGGAGCAGTGGGCTGTGAGGGTTCGGATCTGCCCAGAGTGACCACAGGAGACCCGCTGAGCAGCCAGCCTTGCTTAGGATGGCCGCTGCCTTTCCCAGATTCCATGAGGCAGCATTTGGCAGCTGGGAACAGACAGTAGGCAGGACGCAGTGGAAAGGGGAGGGCTGGAGCAATGCAGACACAGGGCATTTCAGAGGGCCACGGGCCCTCCCGAGGGAGGAGGAAGAAGCGAGTCCAGGGGGTCAGCATTGTGAGGTGGGCGGTGACTGGCCAGTACTGTCGCTTGGGCCACAGCTGGGCTGGCGGGAGAGGCAGGTGTGCGGAGAAACAGCCCTGACTGTGGCTGGGTCACTTGTGGTCTGGGGGGCCCGGGAGGGCTGGGTCTCTCGAGGTCTGGGGGTCCCAGGAGGGCTGGGTCTGCCCTGCTTTGGGGACCAGGGCATGCCCATGGCAGGGTGGGATGTGTGCACTCATCTGGCCCAGAAAGGAGCATGGCTGGGAGGCTTGAGCAGGAAGCAGGGTGGGGTGTAGGATCATGGCTGCTCAGGTTGGTCAGTGGGGCCAGATGCCGGGGTGGGGTGTCATTCCTTGACTCTGGGATTTAGAGGTCTGGTTAGACTCTGGGCAGAAGAGACTGCAGGAGGGTCCTGATCTGCCTGCCCTGTTCGGGGGCTCCTCGCCCTCCCCCAACTCGCTCCTGCTGTGATTCCCAATGTTCTCACTGGGGCCCAGCCACTGTCCAAGTTGGTCACTGCTTGTCCCTGCAGGGCCAGGTGGAGGTGCTGAGCCTGGAGAATGAGGAGCTGCGGGTAAGCCTGGATGGAGCCGGCCGGGCACAGGAGGAGGCAGCCCAGTACCAGCGGCGGCTGCTGGATGCCGAGCGGCAGGTGAGGCTCTGGACCGCGCCCCCCCCCCCCCAGAAGTGCCCGAGGCTGCGTGGCATGTGTGGTGCAGGAGGTCCTCGTGCTCCTTGCCCCATTAACAGGTCACATTCGTGACTGCCCTGGCCTGTAGCCCCCTCTGTCACTTGGGCTGTTGCTTCACGTCTGGGCAGGGCCGGGCAGAGCACCCAGAGGCTCCCAGGCCCTGGCCGCCTCTGAGCCCCGTCCCAAGCCTTTTTGAAACATATCTCAGATTGGGAGAAGAGGGGTGGGGGTGTGACTGGGTCACTCTGAAATGGGCTTCAGACAGTTACGATTTTAGGGGAGAGTTTCATTTAAGGATTAGGAGGATGGAGAGATAGGTGGGGATCGGGCCCAAGGGACCCCATAAGGCCAAGGGGAGGGGTTGAGAGACAGGTGACTTCCAGGATGGGGAATGTGCCTGATTTTTCTGTTCCTTTGTTTTGGGGCCACAGCCAGCAATGGTCAGGGGTTGCTCCTGGCTCTGCACTCAGGGGTCAGTCCTGGTGGGGCTCGGGAGGCTGGCCACTGGACTGCATGCAAGGCAAGTGCCTTATCAGACCTGTGCTGTCTCTCCAACCCCATGACTTATTTCCCATGACCATGCTTTGGGCCAAGTCTCCTGGATAAAAGCTGCTTTCTTCTGCCATAGCATGAGCTGGACATGCAGACGTGCCACGAGAAGTTGGCTTCAAGGGAAGAACAACTCAGCGCACAGACGGCCGAGCTGGAGCGACTCAAGGGCAGTGAGGAAACGCTCAGACAGGCCCTGGAAGCCACCACGAACAACCTGGAGGAACTGAGGAAGAAAGCCCAGGTCTGGCTCCGACCCTCATGGTCCACATGGCAGGGGAGGCCTGGCCCTGGGGCCAGTGCTAAGCGCAGTTATTGCTCTTGTCATGACTTATGCTAGTGATGGTTCTTGGAGTTGTTTTTAGAACTGGCTGGACAAGACTTGAGCCCTGGCCAGAGGATGTTGCAGGCTTGTGGGTAGCCAGGTGGCTGGGTTGGGCTGGCTGGGGAGCGGTGAGGGCCTCTTGCTCTGTCCCAGAACACCCCCCTCAGGTTCTCTGGGAGCAAAGTGGCGGGTCCTGGTCTGCAGAGGGTGCTGTGGTTGTCCCACCAGGGAGGGAGCCCCACCTTGTCCTCATTCCTGCAGATGTTTTCCCGGAGATGGAAACAGAATGTGCCACGTCCAGACCCAAACAATTCATAGCGTCCACCCTGTGCTGACAGGGTACCCTGAGGTTTTCCAAATGTATGATACTAGTTGTATATTGAATATCTGTATTTTGGCAGGGACAGGGGTTGTTGGGCTTCTGGCTCTGTGCTCAGGGACCACTCCTGGTGGTAATGGGCCATGCCAGGGGTTGAACTGGGGTTGGCAAGCGCCCTAACCCCTGTCCTCTCTCTCTGGACCTCACCCCTACTTTTTAGCAACTTGTTTACTGGTGTTTTGAACCTGGCTTGTTCATAGTAGGGAATGTTGGCTCAGATACAGGGCACGTGGTTCTCGGAGTCCACCTGGATCTTGTATTGTCCTAGCAAGGTGCTAGTTGATACATGTTAAGTGGAGTTAGAGAGAGGAACCCCAGAAGGGCAGTGCTCCTGCCCCATAACTGAGTTGTATGAGATGAGTGTGTGGGGTGGAAGCATGGTGTCAACCGAACCCTGAGGCCTCGCATCTCCAACCAGAAGCTCTGGGAGCGGCATGGTTTCAGAACTACGCAGGTTTTTCAGGTTGTGTAGCCTGGTGTGTCTGCAGCCTGTTTTGTGAGACCCACTGGCATCAGGGGACAAGACTTCAGTCAGGCTCTTGCTGGTGCAGTGGGCCAGCCTCACATGGTGCATGGACACAGGCTGTTTCAGCATCTGCCAGGCCAAGCATTGCCTGTGAATAAGTGCCGGGCTTTGAGGGGCTGAGTGTGTGTGTTTGTGTGTGTGTGAGTGTTTATGTCTGTGCATGTCTATGTGAGTGTATCAGTGTGTGTCTGTGTGTCTCTGTGTGTTGTCTCTTTGTGTCTATCAGGGTGTGTCTGAGTGTGTGTGTGTGTGTGTCTGTGTGTGTATCAGTGTCAGTTTGTATGTATGTGCCTGTGTGTATGAGTGTCTCTGTGTCAGTTTGTGTTTGTGTGCCTGAGAGTGTGTGTGTCAGTGCGTGTCTGTGTTAGTGTGTCTGTGTGTCTATGTATTTGTGTTAGTGTCTGTTGTATGTCTGTCATTGTGTGTGTCTCTGTGTCAGTTTGTCTCTGTATCTGTGTATCTGTGTGAGAGTGTGTCTTTGTATGTCTGTGTCAATGTATGTGTTTGTATGTGTGTCTGTGTCTTTGTACAATGTCAACGTGTGCCTGTGTGAGTGTGTGTTATTGTCAGTGTGTGTGTGTCTGTGTGTGTATCAGTGTCAGTTTGTATGTATGTGTCTGTGTGTATGAGTGTCTCTGTGTCTGTTTGTGTTTGTATGTCTGAGAGTGTCTGTGTGTCAGTGTGTGTCTGTGTTAGTGTGTGTGTGTCTCTGTGCATCTGTGTCAGTGTGTGTGTCTGTGTGTCTGTATATATCTGTGTCAGTGTGTGTTTGTCAATGTGAGTCTCTATGTGTCTGTATTTGTGTGTGTGTGGGCGGGGGGGGGGGGTGGCAATGACCTGAGTCCCACTATTCCCTGGTAAATGTAGGTCTGGGGAATTAAGTTGGAGACAGAGCACATGCTAGGGCCCTGGCTTCCATCCCTGCAAGCACATGGCCTCCTGGGCACTCTGGTGTGGGCCCTGGTGGCCCCTGGCCCTGCTGGAGGCTCAACCTCCCACCCCCCCCCCCTTGCCCCCCAGGCCTCCTAAATTAAAACCCTTATTTTGCTGATAGGCTGTAGCTGTTGGCCTTTGCTGAGCCTCTCAGGCTTTGATGGTGCCTGAGGAAATGATTCTCACCCAGGGTTGCATCCCCCCAACTTCCCTGACCCCACCACAGACCTGGCCCCTCCTGGGTGAACTGAGAATGCCCTGTGAGGACGGTCCCAGGCGCAAGAGGGACGCTCGCTGGCCCCAGGGCAGGAAGGGAAGGATGGCAAAGGCCGCACTCTGCAGACCCGGAGGCCCTGTGTGGCCGTGATGGTTTTTGCTGTGGGCTCAGACCATTCCTCACCCCCTCTGCACCCTCTAAAGATGCAGCAGGGGTGGGGCTGAGGGGAGTGGCTCGGGCCTGTGAGATCTCCCTGCTGTCTTGCAGATGGACCAGCGGAGATGCTCGGAGCAGCTGAAGCAGGAGAGCGCCCGCGCACAGGGTAAGATGAAGCTGCTCATCCAGACATGTAAGCAGCTGGAGGGGGAGAAGGAGGCGCTGCAGAAGGAGCTGGCCCGGCTGGAGGCCACCGAAGAGACACGGCCCGCAGGTGGGTGCCGGCTTCCGGGCTGACAGGTGGGCAGGTGGGCGGGAATGCCCTCTGAACCCAGTCCCAGGGATGTGCCCTCTGCAGAGGGGGTGCTTTGGGTTGCGTTGCCCCCGGGGACAAGGCGAAGGGGGCTGGGCACTGAGCTTGGGGTGGACAGAGAGGCCTTCCCCGCACGGTGCCCCTGGCTCCCACAGGTGCTGTTGCAGGCGAGAGCCTGGAGGCCCTGCAGGCGGAGGTGCAGGAGCTCCGGGAGGCCCTGGAGGAGAAGGGCCGGGAGGCAGACGAGTACCTGGACAAGTACTGCACCCTGCTCATCGGCCACGAGAAGCTGGAGAAGGCCAAAGAGATGCTGGAGACGCAGGTGGCCCGCCTGAGAGCCCAGCCCGCCCGGCAGCCCCCTGGCCCGGCCCCCAGCCCTTTGGGGCAGGGGCAGCCTGACAAGGGCCCTGGCAAAAGGCCACGTGTCAGTGGGACGGGCTCCCCTGCAACCCCTGCCGCCTTTCCCAAGAAGAGCCGCAGGATGCCCCCAAGTGCTCCTGGGCCCCATGGGGAGCCTGAGGACCCCGAGTATGAGCCCGAGGGCCTGCCAGAGGTCGTGAGGAAAGGTGAGTGCCCGCCAGAGGCCTGACCACCCACCCCAAAATGTGCAGAAGTTCAGTCGGCCCCAAATTGTACTGCAGCCCCATGGCGCCCTGCGCCCAGCTATCTTTCAGTTAGTTCAGTTAAGGCCCCGGCCTGGCCTTCCGTGGCCATTCTCGGGGTCCCTAGGCAGGCCAGTCTCTGGGACTGCAGAGTTTGCAGAGATTTTCCCATTTCTCCCTCCCACCGCTCCCTCCTGCCCCCTCCCTCTCTCCCTCCCTCACCCTCTGTCCTCCCTGCTCTCCAAGAGGCAAACCCTGATCTGGGCAGCTCTGGGCCTGGCTGGGCTCTGACTGGAGCTGCTGAGGTGGGGGTCATGGGTCTGAGCCCCCTTCTCTCCCCCCAGGGTTTACCGACATCCCCTCAGGGAAGACCAGCCCCTACGTGCTGCGCAGGACTACTATGGCCACCAGGACCAGCCCCCGCCTGGCCGCCCAGAGGGCAGCGCTCTGCGTCCCCAGCTTGGACAAAGAAAACTTGGTGGGGACTCCCAAGGCCTCCACTAGGGGCACCAAACCCCCCAAGGTCAGGCTTCCCTTTGCCCTTCGGACTTGACGGCAGTGCCAGGAAGCCAGGAACTGTTGTGGGGGGCGGGGTTGTGTCACTGGGTGCAGGGCCATCCGGGACCTTCTCAGAGAAGGCTCTGAGCACCTGGGGGCCCTGGGAGACCCTCCTGTCATATCCTGGCCCTGTTGCCGGGAACAGGCCTTCTCCTGGCATCTGGAAGTTCCCCGCAGCATGTGTGTGGGGAGCCGTGTGGGGCAAGGTCTGAATTCCAGACTCCACTGGCACCCCACAACCACGGCTTGGCCTTTTGGGGCACAGGGAGGAGGCAGCTGGGCCCATGGTTCTGATCAACGCCTGAGGGTATGATGCCATCTGGGCCCTTGGCGTGCAGAGCCGGGTTTGGTTCTGCAGAGCCTGTCTGTCCTGGCTTCTAATCTAGTTCCTGTTCTTCAGGCCATGGTTGCCCAGCTCAGCCCAGAGGAGCCTGGTACGAACATGCTCATCGCCCCGACCCGCAGGAACCTCCCGGAGCCAACTTCAGCCGACAGCCCCCAGGAGGGCCTCCAGACCAGACGCGGCTGGCTTGCCCCCAGCCCTGAAGCCCCTGTGGAGCCCCAGAGTGGCGAGAACTGCCGGGTCCAGTAGGAGCACCTCACGGGAACCCCTGGATGGTGGCCACCATGGGAGGATATGCAGGGAACCTGCCACCCTCTTCATCCCTCCCCTCCCCCGCCCCACACCCAGGAAGAACTTCAGTGACCCCTGGACAGGGCGAGTAGGAAACTGGACAGTCCCTCTTCTCAACCTGTTTTCTCCCAGTATAGATGGGTGTGACTGACTTGTTGGCTGTGCGTCTCTGTGCCAGCTTTGTCTGCACAGCTCTTGGGGGGGTGCATATGGCTCCCAGGAATCAGGCCCAGGGCATACTTAGGTGGGAACTGGGAGTTTCAGGAAAGCGCGAGTGTGTTTGTGTGCGTGTGTGCGTGCGTGCTTGCACATGAGTGAGCTCTGTGTGTGTTTTGTGTGAGTGCGTGCAGATGCATGATCCGCATGTGGGCGTGCATGCGTGATCTGTGTGCGCGCACATGTGCACACGTGTGCACACGTGTGGCCCATCTATTTGTGTCTGTGCCACTTTCATCTGCATGTGTTATCCTCATCAGTCTAGCCTGTACATATGTGCATGTGACTGTGGGCTCCTGCCCCACACCGGTTGGCTTTGGCCCCTCTGAGGCATCCAGACGCTGCTGCTCCCTCAGGAAGGCCAGTTTGTCGTAGTTTGGGGTTATGCATCCTCACAAGTGGTGATCTTGCGTTGAAGTAGGGCATTTTACTTTTTTGAATAAAAAGATCTTTCGTGTTTCTGCAGATAGCTCTTAATAAGCGTCCTAGGACCCTGATACCTGCTGTTGGAAACTCCCAGGGCCCTTTGATCAAAGGAGGCATGTTTTCAGGAGGAATGCTGGATATTAGTGGACATGTGCAGGGGGGTGAGTTGGTATCTGGATGGGGAAGGAGAGGTCAGTGGCCTCGACTGCATCCTCTGGGCCTCCTGTGACTTCAGGTATTGGGGTTTGGTCCATTCTAGACTCATTCACCCCCAAGGCTGCCATGTGCTCCATGGCACATGGGCAAAGTCCGGGGGCGCTGCATGGACTCAGGCTCCTACACCACTGCTTACTTCATCGACTCAAGGACAGGGCCTAGAGTAGGGTTCCCTTAGGTGGGCCAGCTGCCCCCGGCTGGGGACAGGGGAGGACTGTGGGACTTTCCTTTCTCTGAATGGAGAACGGCTCCCATCTGAGTCCCCGACAGCCAGACCTTGAACTGGCTCTTCCTGGAACTGGCCCTTCTGGTCTTTGAGCAGGGCTGTATTAAACTGGGAGTTAAGGAGCTTCTGTTTAGTGGAAGTAGCAGATAAGCCACAGGTCAGATCCCTGTGGCCAAATCTGGGGAAAGTTCCAAGGGCAGGAGACAGCAGGAAATGTTGAAGAAAATTCCAGGCCCCGTCTGAATGTGGCACCATCTCCCCTGCCCTCCCCCACTCATGGCAGTGCTAAGGTGACCCCCAGCATTGCTGGATCCAAGCATCAAGAATTGGGTAGCACTTTGGTGGTGCCTGATGAGCATCTCCAAGTTGTCAGGGACTAAATGGGGGTCAGCCACATGTGAGGCAAGTGCCTTGAGCCCAGGCTGTCCCTCTGGTCTTCAGTGACTGAATACACTAGTCCATATCCATATCCTTCTTTTTCAAAGTTTTATCAAATGTGTTTGAAATCCTGGGGCTGGAATGATAGCATAGTGGGTAGGGCGTTTGCCTTGCACGTGACTGACCTGGGTTCGATTCTCAGTATCCTATATGGTCCCCTGAGCACCGCCAGGAGTGATTCCTGAGTGCAGGACCAGTAGTGACTCCTGAGCATCGCCAGGTGTGACCCAAAAAGAATAAAATAAAATTAAAAAAGAAAAAAAGTTTGAAATCCTGGCATGCCACGCCAGATCCCCCCAGTGACCTCAGTTATGATGTTGACAGTTCAGGATTTAAGACAAGCCCACAGTGTCTGCTGCCTGCACTCAGGCTGTGCTAGCAGGAGGGAGGGAAGGCTGAACTCTTGGCCCGGTCTCACGTCCCCTCCCCTGGACTCCTTCCCTCAAGAAGCCCGGGCCCATCTTGCTCCTGCCAGGACCAGTCCCAGGGGAGCTGCGGGCCTGATGCCAGCTCCCTTTCAACCTTTCCACTTTGCAGCAGAGCGTGGTGGCTTTTGGGGACAGCTGCTATGACCGGTTGCCACATGTGGGTAGGAGGGCGTCATCTCCTGGAGGCAACTGCTCACGTGTTGGCCCTGGGTCATTGAACGCCGCTGGGCACCCCACTTTTTCCCTTCATCCAGCAGTGGTATCTATTGCACAGCAGAAGCCTCTGGTCTTAGGGGAGCCTTATCAAGTGACCCCTTTTCCCCAACGGTCCTGAATCCTAAAGTTAACTGCATACCCAAAGGCACGGACTTCTGGAGGCTTAGTGTGCTGTTCTACCTTCAGGTCTGTGACCTGTTTGGAGTGGATTTTTGTGAAAGGTGTCAAAAGTGTCTAGATTCTTTTGTGGGGGACCTGACAGGGTTCTCAGGGGGCCCGGGCTCCCTCCTGGCAAGTCTGGGCCAGCCAAGGATGTGGTGCTTCCGGGGATGGTCTGGGTCACTCTGGAGGTGTTTGGAGGTTCCAAGGGGACCACGTGATCGCAGGGGAGCGAACCTGCCTTTGTCACACATGAAACCCACTTAGCTCCTAAACTCTCTCTGGTTTGAGATTTATTCTTTTTAGTTTTGGGGTGTTTTTTTTTTTTGGCCTTTGGCCATGCCAGGTTGTGCTCAGGCTTATTTCTGGCTCAGTGCTCAGGAGTCACTCCTGGAGGTGTTTGAAGCACAATTTGGTACCGGGGATCAAACCTTACCCCCATGCCATCTCTGCGATCCCTTGAGGCACCTGAGTTCCAGTACTGGTGGCAGCGGGTTTGTGCAACCTTCCAAGCAAATGCCTCCACCAGTGTCCGAATTCCTCCACGGCTGTCTTGAGCCCTTGGAGCCACTCTGGGTGAGCTCAGTTCTGTAGACCAGTCCTTGGGCTTGGGGCTCTGGGATCCCCACTGAAGGTTCTACTTTCTCTTTTCCTTCTCCATTTGACTGAAGTACCGAAAACTGATTTGATGGCTTATTTAATAACCACTTAGTAAGATTTAGATGATGCCATCAGTCGTCACTTGCCAGCCCTTTGGCAGTGCTCTCCATCACGTTAGGTTTGGAATAATCAGTTATTTTAATACAAAAGATATGAGATGATTCAGACATCATTTTTAAAATTCAGACATCACCTTTTAATTTCCTCTGGCTATTGGAACCGGACACACATGTCCAAATGTGGGCTGTTGCCGGGGTCCCACGTAAATACAGATCCCCTAGCACTTGGGTATTTTCTTGGTTTAGGCAGAAACTCTTAGAAAATTGGGTGGAAGAATTATTTTTCTGGCATTTTGCTCTGCTGATTATTGGAGTTTATTAGGAAAATGACACATGCTTTTAACTGATGGAACATTTTCTGTAATAAAACCTCATTTTTCTTGCTTTATTTTGCCTAAATTTTAGATGAAGAGTATCCCCAAATTTAGTCCCAAATCTGTCATGAGCCATACCTCGGCATGGGTGGCAGTTCAGAGCTTGCTGGGACGACAGCCTGCAGAGAAGAGGGTTAGTAGGGCTCCAGAGAAGCGTTGCTCAGAGAAGCGTCTACATGCCCTCCCCCCCCCCCCCCCCCCGCCACACACAGGAGCAGCAGCACCGTCATTGCCCTAAAGGTGCTATAGGAACAGCAACAAGCCGAGAATTCTGCATACGGGTCAGAAGGGAGATGAGTGCATCTGGAGGTGTCTGCGCAGAGGTGATAAGCTTCTGACTCTAGAGTGTGTGGGCTTAGGAAGCACAAGAGGTGAAGAACGGGTCCACCCTTCTCAGATGGTGCGAGAAAGTGAGACAACAACCCATGTCATCCATCACAGAAGGTTCTAGAGCACAAGACACAGTACACATCCATCACCACAGAAGGTTCTGGTATCTGAGACTTGACACAACACTTGTCCACTGTCATAGAAGGTTCTACTAGTCAAGAGAGACACACCACATGTCTACAGAATGGTCTAGTGCACAAGGCAGACATGGTGTATTTACCATGACAGGATTGTACTGGGCTCTGGGCTTTTGGAGAGAAGTAGGTTTTTTTCCCAGCTAAGTATCTGGTTAAGAGAAAAACACTAATCTCTACAAATATGTTGGGCTGGAGCGATAGCACAGCAGGTAGGGTGTCTGCCTTGCACACGGATGACCCGGCTTCGATTACTCTGCCCCTCTCGGAGAGCCCGGCAAGCTACTGTGAGTATCCCGCCCGCACAGCAGAGCCTGGCAAGCTCCCTGTGACATATTTGATATGCCAAAAACAGTAACAAGTCTCACAACGGAAACATTACTGGTGCCTGCTCGAGCAACTCGGTGAACAATGGGAGGACAGTGCTACAGTGGTACAAATATATAAACATATTTTTAAAAAGGTGCAGCGTCCTTAAAGACTCATTTAAACAATGTTAAGAAACAAGATGCCAGTATAGTTCCCTGAGGCCTGGCTGCACTCAGCTCAACCCAAAGGGGTGCTGGTGTCTTGAACAATTTTAGACGAGGACTGTTTATCTTAGAGCTGGCATGCTGTGCTGCTCTGAGTGGGGGTCACTGGAGGCTAAGTATATCAGGGTTTGCTGCCTGGCCTCGGGCCCTGCGCACAAATCTAACCACAATCAACTGGGAAGTAATTTAGGGCCCCTGGAAGTGCTCAGGATCACCGGCCGTGACTCAAGCCGGGCCAGATAATTCTTTGGGCGGGGCTGGAGCAGCTTCTCCCCCTGCCTTTGACAGATCCCTTCTGATTTTAGTTCTGTCTCCACGGCTCTGTCTGGTGCTATTTGTGCCCTGGTATTGGTTCCATTGCTCTCTGCACCCCAGCCACTCACCCTACACTGGAGTCAGTGAGTCAGCCCCAATTTCGGGGCTGCAGGGTGATTCATCTTTGTGACTCAGTTTGGCAGTTTGGTTATGCAGCTCCATGTTTGC